ATATAGTGGGCACCTAATAAATGTGTACAGGTGGATCGATTGGTTGGTTGATTGGGGAAAATTAACATAGGCCACCAAACCGGGTGGCCAATTCCCCATACATCTCCACCACCAATGTGTGGACAGTCACCCATCTTATCACCCCCAAAGCTGCCTTCCTTTGGAAATTAGGCTCACCTCACCCCTGCCTTTCTATAAAAAGCTTCTTCTGGTCCAGCCCCAGATGATCTTTTGTCAGGAAGTCTTCTGAGTCAGTCATAACTTGGTCGTTCCTGGTTGGATGAGTTTGGGGATGAGTTACAAAAGACTTGGGTTTAAAGACTTCTTCTGACACCAGCTATGTGACCTTGGGCAACTTATTTAATATCTCTGGGCTACTGTTTCCCCATCTGTAAAATGGGGCTAATCATCCCTATAATGCCTACCTCACCAGGTTGTTGTGGGGCACAAAGGAGGTCATGTTTTATATATCACGTTGCAGAAGCTCCAAGGGAATGCTGGCTGTTGTTACTATCAGACTTGCCTGAGAATTATCTTAAACTGACAGGTCACCCCCAATTTGCTCCAGTCCACCAGGAAACCAGGCCAGCTCAGCCCCCAGGGCCTCTCCAAGACCAGAGCCAAACCCTGAAATCCTCTCTTTCACCATCCTCATGAGCATCCTCTGGCCTAAGCCAGGTCATCATCAGAAAGGGCTTCAGAATCAGGAAAGTGACGCTTAGTGAGGCATGAGCCTTAAGGATTCACTGGGCCAGGAAACCAAGCAAGGCAGCCCCTTTTTCCCCTTTCTGTCTACTCCCATCTCAGGCAACCCAATGTTCTCCCATCCCTTCCAGAAGGAAACACTCTGAAAAGAACTAGTCTCTCTATTAGTTTAGTGTGTCAGCCATGCCTCCACACCCTTCTAGGAAGACATATTCATTAAAATAGGGTTGACAGAGCCAAGGAAGTTTGAGATAGCCGGCCAAGGAAGATTGTTGGGAGGTGCGAGGGCTCTCCCGGGATCATTTTATACTCTATCTTTGTACAAAGCCATCCCTTTTGTACAAAAGCCTCTTTGTACAAAGCCAGATTTTGGGATACTTCTAGTGAACTTGAAGACAAGTATTATCATACACTGATCCAAACTTGGATTTGTGACACACAAGTGCCACATGGGAGGAAATGTTTTTCAAATACTATTTCTCCAGGGGTGAGGCGGCATAATGGATAGAGAGCCAGCCTGGGGGTCAGGAAGATCTGGAAGTCAGTTCAAGCCCTGCTTCTGACCCAAACTGGCTCCATAATTTCATTCTAACTTCTCAGAGTCCCAGGAAGCTCACACTGTCAAGGGGGTCTCGTATCCCAATGAAATCACAAGTCTAGTCTAAAAAAGGTGGGGATAAAATATGCAACCTCTTAGAATGACCAAGCTTGGCCCCAAAGAAGAGATAAGAAAGGGCCGCTCCCCCTCCCTACATGGGGATGAAGGACTATAGGTATGAACCGTTGATATAATAAGAGTAGTAATAATAGCTAACCTTTATATAGGGCTTCAGGGCTTGCAAAACACTTTACATATATTGATAAGTTTGTTGAACTGTCGGGTTTTTTTTCTCTTTTTTATTCTTTGTTATAAGGGATTGTTCATTAGGAAGGGGAGGAGAAGAGATCCACTGGGAAATAGAGGTGACAAAAAATAAAAAGATACAATTCACTTTAAATATAATAACTCTTTATTTTCTACTTTTTAGTTGAGTCTTCAGAGTGCTAGACTTGGGATCAGGAAAAAAGGGATTTAAGTCCTATCTCTGACACTCACTGGCTCTGTGATAATGGGTATCTGTGATCTCTGGGACTCAGTTTCCTCATCTGTAAAATGAAATTGAACTGGATCATCCCTAAGGTCCTTTCCTATGCTAAACCTAGTGCTAGGGACTCTCTCAAGAATGGACCGAAGAAAGAGAAGCAATCCTCATGATTTGGCATATCTTCCAATTAAAAGGAAGAAAAAGGTGAGTGAATGGAAATTCCACCTAAAAGAATGTTGGAACATATGGGTCCTTTTAGACAGAAGAGAAGCATTTTCTTAAGGAACAGCTTTTGAGTATTGACGGAGAGAACTCATACTGTTTTTACATCACTCCTTCAAGAGAGAGAGTTAGTGATCCTCATGCTGAACTGGAAACCAGAAAGAACTGGGCTCAGATCGTGCCTCTGATGCTTATAGGATCATGGGCAAGTCACTTGCCTTCTGAATCTCAGACAACTCTCCAAGACTTTAAGCCCTAGACCATCTTAGAGGCAATTAGGTGGCACAGTGGATAGAGTGCCGGACCTGGAGTTACGGATGATGCCTGCCTCAGACACTTACTAGCTGTGTGACCCTGGGCAAGTCGCTTAAACAGGATGTGCCTCAGTTTCCTCATTTGTAAAACAGGGATAATAATAGTCCCTACTTCCCAGGATTATTGTGAAGATAAAACGAGGTAAGATTTGTAAAGCACCTTGCAAACCTTAAAACACTATGTAAATATTAGTTGGACCAGTTGAGATCTTTGTCATGGGAAGAAAAATCATAGGTCCCTAAAGTATAAGAGAGGCAGTCTGGCATAACGAAAAGCACACCAGACCCGGAGTCAGGAGAGCTGGGTTAGCCAGTTGCGGCACTAACCTGAGCAAGACTTTACCTCTCTGGATTCCGGCTGCTTCATGCAGAAGATGAGGAGATTAAGTGGACTAGAGGATCTCTATGCTCCCTTTGAGAGGTCAAAGTTTAGAAGAGAAATTCCACAATTGTTCATCAATCTAGCTGTCTCATTATTGCTTCATGACTATCCTAAGCCAAGAAAACTAGAAGCTTGACCTAAATTGAGTTGGGTGCTTTAAAAGATGACCTAGAATCATCTTGGAAAAGCCATATCTTTGGGATGCTTTTGAAGGAATGTTTTGAAAACTTGAAATTCTTATTCCAGATTCAGTCCTGGCTGGAAGGCCAGGGCTAATCTGGATTACTGCCTATAGTCCTTCCAGTATGAGAATTCCCTGTCTCCTCTCAGCTGTCTTCTTTTTCTTCCTTCTCTTCTCTCTCTACCCTTTTGATTAAATAACCAGTTGTGGTCAGTGAAAAGACTGTTGTCTTAAGAATCAAAAGGTTTGTGACCTTGAGCAAGTCACTGAGGCCCTCTGAGCCTCAGTTTCCTCATTTGTAAAAAGAAATCAGGCCCCTGGAGATATAAATCTACAATCCTTTTTGCATTTCATTAAGTAACAACACATCTTGGACACATCATTATATGTTCATAGAGGGGATCTAGGCAAAAGGTTATGAGAGAGGGGTTCCAAGCACTTTATCAGGATTTACACAATGCTTGGAAGATTAAACATCTTGCCCTGTTTGAATTTTTACCTTCCAATTTAAGGTTCACTCATTGAAAAGCACACCAAATATTAAATATACTGTTGGATTTGGGCAATCTATTGATGACTTTTGATGACCCATTTTTTTTACTCTTTCTTTTTTATTCTTCATTCTGAGGGATGACCTCTTGGTTGAGGAGGAGGAGGAAGCATACATGAGGAAATGGAGGTGATGTGAAAAACAAAAGATATCAATGAAAAATTTAAGTTTACTTAACCTTCAAGGCAAAAACAAAATTGGCAGAACAGTGGCCTTGTAGTGAAACTCAACTCCAAACTCCAAAAATCCTGTACCATCTTATTAGAAGAAACAGAAATGACCAAAAGCAGTCTGGGGTGGGCGTTTGGGAAGGGAGGAGAACGTCAGACCGGCACGTGATCAGAAGTTGGAA